CTAACACAGGCAGGAGTCAGGGCAAACTAATTATTCTCTAAAGCCAAAGCAAGCACACACCAACAGAAGAAGAGTCTGCCAAGCCAAGTCTTTTTAAGCAAAGCCAGCCAAGTCTTTTTCCTCCAAGCCAAGCAGCCAAGCCACGCCAACCCAAAGCATTGAAAGCAAAGTAAGCCAAACACACTAGCACAGCCCTCCCACACCTCTCCTCCCTCGCCTCCGCGCGCTACAAAGGAGCTCCGCGGCCGCGCGGAGCTCCTTTTAAAGGCCTTCCGGCCAATCAAAATCCGCCACGGTGCACTGAGGGGTGCTTGGGAGCGCCGGATTGGCTCCCAGGCACCAGCAGCACTCAAGCAGCCTCCATAGTATTAACGAAAGGAGCTGAAGCTCCAAAAATACATGGGGCTGCCGTTTCGATATTTTTAAACCCTTCCGGGTTTAAAAATATGTTTTGATATCGTTCTGTAATTGATAAAAATAACAAAACAATAACGAAATAACGAAATAACGAAATAAAACCGACAGGCCTAGTAGATTTCTCTCACTTCCTGTTACCTCACTCCCATTCTTAACTTGTGAGTCAGATGTTGTAACTCAGGGACTCCCTGTATTTTTAAACATTCTTTCCACCCCTGTGCAATAGCTGATTGTGATTAAATGGAGCAGAATTACACATTATATATGTGTCTTGAATTGCCTTCGGGCTGAGAAAGGCAGGATAAAAATGCTGTAAATAGATAATAAATAAATAAATAAATAAACAAACAAACAGGAATCAATGGTGGAGATGGGAACAAGAGGAGATGTGGATTTTTCCTTGCTTGATGCTTTTTCGGTTCTCAAAACCACCACTTTAATTCCTTTTTGTATTATAAGAGTAAACATATCTATGGATCTCTGCAGGAGGATGGAGTCAGCTCAGAGGGCAGATTGCAGTAGTAGAGAAGTGGTCACCTTGATTCTAGCTTTTCTCACACTCCCCACACTCCCCACACTTCTTACATGTACATCTATGGGGCTGTTTATGTTGTCCTCAGTGGTGATGACACTGCATATAGCATATGCTCAACAAACCCTTCTTAATATTAGGGGCAATGGGAGGGGGGGGGCAGTATAAATGACTGAGACCTGACAATCTGAGAAGTCTCATTATGTTGTCTATTTTTGTTGTCTTTCTCAGTAATATTATTACTTGCCTTTAGAGAGGTAAAACGAGCCCCTGGTAGCACAGCAGGTTAAGCCACTGAGCTGCTGAACTTGCTGACTGAAAGATCAGTGGTTCAAATTCAGGGAGCAGGGTGAGCTCCTGCTGTAAAGCCTAGCTTCCGCCAAACTAGCAGTTTGAAAACATGCAGATGTGAGTAGATCAATAGGCACTATTTCGGTAGGAAGGTAACTGTGCTCCATGCAGTCATGCTGGCCACATGATCTTGGAGGCGTCTACGGACAATGCTGGCTCCTTGGCTTAGAAATGGAGATGAGCACCACCCCTCAGAGTCAGACAGGACTAGACTTAATGTCAAGGGGAAACCTTTACGTTTACATTACTAGAGAAGTAAAAGCCAATATAAAAATCATGAATTTCAAAGCATATATTCAGTGAAGGATTTCTCCTTACAAACAGACATTTAAGCTGAAGCTGAGTTCTTTTCCAAATCGAATGTTGGCTAAATTAAAGATAGTAAGAAAAGCAACTCTTTCAGATTAAAGATATGTTCAGTAAATGGTTCAGTAATTTATATTGTGACTATAAAATAATTAATGCTCTCAAAAGTGTAAGGCTGAGAAAAGTGAAGTGGCACAATTTGAAGAATGTATAAAGTGGGCTGTGAAGAATTAGAAGAGGATCTCAAAGCCCAAGGAAATGGGAAACAAAAGAGCAGCTGAATATATATTAAAGCAAAGAAATGCAGGTTGGAGAGAAAATAGCCCAATTCTACTTACTTACACATTGTTAGGCACTGAAAAAGCTATTACTGCCAAAGAAAAGAATTATGGAGTCACTGTGCATACTTTCTGCAAATGTCAGTGAGGCCACTGAAGTCTTCAAAAAGCAAACAATGCGAGTGATTATTATTTAAGGAATAGAGAATAATATATCATAATTGCCTTTATAAGTAAACAGTGTATTCAGATATCTCATTCCACATGTAGTATGTAGCCACAGAAAGGTATTAAAAGAAGATAACTTGAAAATTTTAGGACACAGATTGTTTTTCATGCAATAGAGTTTTAAATGGTTAAATGTGATTGTCTCTAAGAAAAAGAGATACCACACTCCCATGTAGGTTTACTTGGGGAAAAGTCATATTAGTCTCTGGTGAACGTGCGTAGAATAGCAATCCTTAAACCAATGGTTCTCTACCTGTGGGCCCCCAGGTGTTCTGGCCTACAACTCCCAGAATTCCCAGTCTGTATACCAGCTGTTAGGATTTCTGGGAGTTGAAGGCCAAAACATCTGAGGACCCACAGGTTGAGAACCACTGCCATAAACAGTTACAGTAGGGACAGCAGACATGAGATAGCATTTCCGAATGCTTGTCCACAAAAAATCATCTTTAATTTACACCATAAATTAAAGAAAAAGTTTTAAGCCACATGTACTCGTGATTTTCTTAGCCTATTTTTACAAAGTGGTTTCTTAACTTTTAAAAAATCTTGAATCTATAGCCTGAGAAGGCATCACTTCATTCTGCTGCATGTGTAGACTAAGTTACAGAAGTTCATATTTAATATGGTAATTTGTAATGAGGTGGTGTGTGGAGGGAGAGATTAAAAGTTGGTTGAAAGATGAACTAGAATGTATCCAATGATAATGGTAAGTTTCACATAGACGGAATGCACACTTTCCCCATGTAATGTATAATTATAGAACCTAAAGGTGGTCAAATAACTGGAAAACAAAAAGAATCAGCGCCAGAAGATGTGATATAGTTTGACAAAGACGGTTCACACATTTACTGCTGAGTCAGTTTGCAATGTGATGTCAAAAGCTATGCAAACACATGTGAATTAGCCCAAAGTAATTACTAATAAATGTCAGACAGTAAGACTCTGTAGAAGAGGTTTCCTGGGGAAATTTACTGGGAGATTCATCCTGCAGGTAGCTGTTTAAATCAGGTTTTTGAGCTTCAAGGTTTGGTCCATCTAAAGCCCTACTAAGGCAAAGGACACTATTTTCTCAGTCATCTAATTAATTTATCCCATTACGCAAGATTGATAACTCGTGGGGCAACTTTGTCCATAATATCAAAATGTCGCAGTAATACAGTGGTTAGAAAATTTAAAATGGGAAGCCCAGCTTCAAGTCATCACTGAGTCATGAAACTCACTGGAGTCACACTAGGCCAGTCTCTCTTCTTCTGCTTGACCTAGGGTTATAATGATTGCCTTGATCTTACTGGAATAAAGCAGGACAAAATGTAACAGAGCTAAACTTTTTCCAGATCAATAAAGCCTCGCATTCTCCTGAATTCATTGCAGTCTTTCAAGGAAGGCAGTATCTCTTAATTGGCATGCCTATGATGCAGCCGTAGTATAATGCAATACTGGGAAGATATTGCTTCTTCAGGTTCCTCTTTTTTGTCAAAGCTATTATTGCTTAATTGTTTAACGTGCGTAGAGACATAAAATGACACATACCAAGTGGGCTTGCTGTTGCCATGCCTACTCTTTTTTGGGAAAAATATATTTGTTCTTATAAGTGCATCAGGTCAAGAAGAAACTGTATCATTCTGTAAAGCTTTAGAAGCATCCAGTTCCCCATTCAAAGAGCAGTTTGTTCCCCTGTCCCCTTTTTTGCCTATTACTGTCCACAATCAAATGTTTCCAGGGCCCAGAATTATTAGGAACATTTAAAAAAAGTTAATGGAGGGCAAGAATTAAAGCTTTTTTTAAAAAAAAAAAAGCTGCTGCTATATTATGCGAAAGCTTATCATTAAAGTTTTCACACACATGTATATTTATTGTTCACTTGAATTCTGAAAAGAGAACTATTCTAAAATTAACAGCTGTTCTGCAAAGTATTGGCAGAGAGAAGTGAACTGTTGCTCCAGTTGTTAAGAATTGTATCTTCCATGGCAAGATTGCTCTAGTTTCAGGCAACTGTATTCTACTTTGTCTTTGTATTCTGTTTTGTCATATTTTGAACAGGAAAAGTGTGGTTATGGACTGGTTTCCATAGTTCCACAGCAGACCATTGGTTCCCCTCTCCAAGGAACAAACTTCTTAGGGTGCTTCTACAGAGCCATCTACTCTGATTTAAGTGATCTGATTTGCTTTGTAGTGCCTATACAACCATCCCAAAAACAGCTGCAAGCTCCCACAGAGTCCACAAAGCTGCAATGATCTGGATCTACCCAAAGCCAAGAATATTTTTTCTTGGCTTCTTGAAAACAGTGTTTGTTTGCAGATGAGCCTGGCAATAGAGAGCAATTTAGCACTTCCATGGGAACTGTAGAGGTGCAATTGTAAGCCGCCCTGAGTTCCCCTCGGGGTAGAGAAAGGTGGGATATAAATAAGGTAAATAAATAAATAAATAAATAAATAAATAAACTGTGCAAGCATTCCTAGGAAAAGGTGTTTTTCTTTCACCTGGGCAAAGCTTTCCTCCCAACTGTTCATCTGGGTTCCATCTGGAACTCCTGAACTTTTGTCTTGTCCTGACAAGTGCTCCAAATGCATCTTCCAGTGATCAACTTTGTGTTTCCTATTGCTTGATCCAGAATTTCTGTTGAGGTTTTTTTTATCACAGTTTCTGGTTGGATACATATTTCAGGTTGCATTGGAGGTTAATGTTTTCTAGACACCCCAGCCTTGAACCAGCTTCAAGACAGATTATAGTGTGTGTGTGTAAGTAGAGCCTTAATATTTTACTTCCTCCACCTAGGAGAAGATCTGAAAGCTACCTAGGGAAGTAGGATTCTTCTTCAATGGCTTGTGCATCAGTTTTATTTCCTTAATATTGAAACTGACCTTTTCATTTCTTTTTTCCCTTTCAGGATGAAGAAGGAAAAGAATATTCTTGTTCTAACAGAGACAGTGACCCTGGTGGAGGGTTACACACAGAGAAGGTCTCTCTGAAGACTAGTGATTCTATGGATAGCCTTTATAGTCTTAACAGTGGACAGAGTTCATCAAGTAAGCATAGGCTGAGAAATTTTTTGAATGGTTGGAAAGCATCCTAAGTCTAGGAAGGGGATGACTTTTTTTCACCTAATCTTCTCTCAATTCTTTTCTACATTGCTCATATGCCATACAAACAAATTAATCACTGCTTTATTCATTTAACACTTGGGGAAGGGGATCTCATTTGCCACGAGGAAAAGTAATTGATGCTAAACGATTACCAACTCTTCCAGAGCCAACTATGTTGGGGTTGGATGGGCATTTTTCAAAGGTAGTTTTAATTCCTGTTGTTGAACATTTCTTGAGTCTTAAATCAAATTGTATGACACATGCAATTATAAAATGAAATGCTTTATAACATTACAACATTGAAATAGGGAATTAATAGCCACAATTCAAGACCAAATTAAGCATGGTTGAAGTGTACCCTAAGGGTCAAGCTATACATGATGCTAAATATATCATTAGGAATTACGTCAGTTTTTTTTAAAAAAAAATACTGGATAACAGGTGCAGGAGGTGATTTTCATCAGCCTGGGTTAACTCTATCTGCAGCTGTAATCCTGACAAAACACACACACACAGTGTGTGGCTGTGAAGTTTAGGGATGGGGAAAAAGCTTATATGAATACTTTCTACGTTTCCTATCATCAATGCCATCAGTTTTCATAACAATACATTCATCTGAAACATTTCATTATGGGTTTTTTTCTAGTGAAAATTGATTTTAAGGAATTTTTGAAAGATATATTTTATTACCATCATTTTAAAAATAAATAAATTAGACTTGGTTATGCTTAGCTCAATCTTCTATTCTTACTATCATACATGCAAATGGGAAGGTAACATGGAAACAGCTGTGCTAAAGATAAAATAAGAGTGAGAGGCTAAGGCAATATTGTCAATGGTTTGGATAGGATGTGCCTTGTGGTCTCTTCCAACTCTATGATTCTAAGGAGAAGTTAGTAGCACAATCCCATGCCTACTCGACAGTAATTTTCATTGTATTCAGTAGGCTCTCTAGTCTCTATTATATTCAGTAGACTAGATCTCTAGTCAGCAATTGCCAAGACTGAGCTAAACAGGAAATAAACAGAAACAGTCTTATCTAGTAACAGAGGAGAAAGATGGCCAGCAGATTTTATGCCTCAGATGCCAAAAAATAACTCAGTCAGTCTATAGTACTGTGTATCATCAAAGAGACCATAATTTGCTGCTCTAACTCAAGATGCAAAATGTTATGATCTAGCAAATGGATATAATTGTAGCCTAAATGTTTTCTTTCTGCCTTTGCATCAATAAAAAGTATGTTCTAGGATATGTTCAACCTGATTGTCAATACATATAAAAATTATGGATGAGCTGTAATCTGATGAGATACCGTGTTCAAATCGCAAGCACCAATACAGATTTTTCTACCATATGCTTTCACTGAGACATCCTTATATAAGCTTTTATATTGTCATTCTGTCTAGTCGAATTGATTAATGATGTTAAAGCATCCCATCTCAGCCTTTTGAGCTAAAGCATAACTCCACTGTAAAACAGAATTGTTCATTGACATATCAGTTCCATTTCACATCCAGGGTCTGGGTTAACTATGTTTTCAAAGAGACATGGCTCCTGTCAATTCTATCAATTTAAGAACTCAATTGCAGAGCAATATCTTTAGGTTCTGTTCTCTGTCAGAAATGCAACAGTAAGGTTATATAGAGAATTAACTTACCCTGGTGTGAGCTCCATCAGTCAGTGTAGTCTAGATATTTCTACTTTACTTTTCCATTTACTTAAAAAATTTTTGCCAGAAAGCATGACTCTACAGAGCCCTTGAGAAAGCTCACAACATATGAAACAATAGTTAAAAACAATATGAAGCCAATGCCTGTTTAAATTACTTAAACTTAAGTTTAAGCTCTTTATGTGATATTAACAGCACATCACATAAATAGATTGCAAAGGTGGTTGGCCTCCTCTGTTTTCTTTCAGTTATCCAGCAAACACTTTTTATTTATGAAGGCCTTTGGCTTTTGCCTTTTTGTGGCTGAAGGTGCTTTTGATGCAGAATGCATGCCTTTATCTTATTATGTTTAGATGTGTTCAACTATTTAACTTTGTGTTTCTAATTTAAAAAGCTGAGAGACCCTTACTACTAGAAATTACCAGCACTGCTTGCTACACATGAAAAAGCTCATATAGGGAGATACAGTCTTTCAGATACTCTGAACCTAAGTTGTATAGGACTTTAAGGATCATAATCAGCACTCTGAATTCTACCTAGAAATAGATAGATAGCCAATGTTACAATAAGGGATTTATATGTTTCCTATAACACCTCAGTGATGATTCTGAACAGTTTCCAAAGTGCTACACTACTCCCAATTGGACATGATAAAGGTATTTTTCATCTTAGTCAGACCAGATATCACAAGAGATAAACATAGCTAATGCACCAGTTGTGCAAACACACACCAAAATTACATGAATACCCTAATACCTAAGGAATTTTGGCAGGAAATAAAATAGAAACTTTATACAATTATCATACAATAACAAGCAATTAAGTAGCACATTCTTTCATGACATCCTGTCAACTGCCTGAGCCAGTCTCACTCTGCCCAGTGGCAGGGATAGCCCTGATTTTGTGGGTGTGGACATTGTTTGTTGAAAGAAAATAGAGGGTCTCTTTCAGAATGTTCACAGAATCCATATTTATTCTTTTGCACTTAAGCAACTGCATCATGAAAATCATTTTATTGTTCTATTATCTCTTTCAAGGTCTTGTGGTTGCTATCTTAGGCTGGATCTACACTGCCCTATAATCCAGAATCTGATCCCAGATTATCTGCTTTGAACTAGATTATATGAGTCTACACTGCCAGATAATCCGGGATCAGATCCTCGGATATATGTCAATGTGGTTCCAGCCTAAAGCATATTTGAATGGAGTATTGCAGCACTTGCTCGAATGTGCTGATGTGAGATTGTTTAGCTGTAACAAAATGACAGAAATCTAAACCCAATACTTTCCTCTCTGCAGTGTGTGATTTTTCGAAAACAATGCTGCTAGTGTACTATTCAAAGACACCTATGGTGAATTATATTTCTCTTCACCTGAATAAAGATGAAACATTCAATGAGATATTATTTAAATAGTACTTTGACAGTTATCATTATTACTTTTAATATTTGAGGGAAATCTAAACTCAAGTTATCACCACAGCAGTCTGCTAATGCAGCCTTTGAACAGTTTATGAGCACTTGTTCTGTTTTAGGACTTTGAGAATCTGTTAGAACATTATCTCAAGTAAAGATTATCCTGCAGCATGTTAATTAATTACATGGGAATAATCCAACCATAGCTAAGTGCTCTTAAGTCCTAAAGATTTCAATGTAATGGGACCAAGAAATGCTTAACTTTGGCCAAATCCCACCACCCTCCTCTGCCAGCTCTAAGTGGAGAACTTCAAATAATTGTCTGGAACTAACCATATCTTTCCAACAGATTCTTGTCTTTGCATGGTATCCATCTTTGATTTTATGTAAGACTAATCATTCTTATTTCTTTCAGGTGGAGTAACAAGTTGCTCAGATGGAACAAGCAACAGGGACAGCCTGAGGCTTGATGATGAAGTCCCTTACACTGGCCCATTCTGTGGCAAAGCCAAAGTGCACACAGACTTCACACCAAGTCCTTATGACACAGACTCTCTCAAGATCAAGGTGAGACAGCTCTCAGCTTTGCTTTAAAATGTGTTTATATCCTAAAGCTTTGCATGTCAGTCCAAAAATGATGTGACTAATAATCACCTGGCAGTTTCTGTCCTAGTCTGACTTTGCAGGGTGCCGCCAAACATTCTGCGGTAGTGTGACATGAGTTACAGTTGAGGAAGGTGGTGTGAGAAGCCATGTTTCACTTTTCCATATTAACTAAGACAAGATGATGTCTCGTGCTCATCTTTCTGCAATGTGGGGTATGATTAAGTGCTGCTTCACTACTGACTGAGAACTCTGAAGTGATAATTTCACCCCTGGGAGGAAAGAGGGTCTGCCTAAGTTGTCAGTTTTTACCAGAGCATAACAATGATGAGCACTTTGTTAAGGTGGATGAAGGGGAAACCTCAGCTATTCTAAAAAACCTCAATAATTTAATGCAAGTATTCAGAAAATAGGAATTATGACCAAAAAACATTTGGATCAAACATATTCCTTAATACCCAATATAGTATTATTTTGGTTTGGATGCAAATATGTAAGTAGAAAGGTACTTCTGCTATTGGGAAGTGTGAATTTCCCCTATCCTACCTTCTTTGTCTCTGGGATTTTCTCCAACCCCAAAGGTTAGATTGTAAGGGATCACAGTAATCTGCAACAAGGGCTAAGAGAGCGAACATTGTTCATTAAGTAGAACTTCCTTTTGGGAGTTGTGAACTAGTGACTACAGAGGAATGCCACAAAGAACTTAAAATTAGCACATTGGGCTATTCGAGGGACAAAAAAGCAGTGTATAAATTATGCATGGTGTGGCTAAAGTGGATAGAAAATAGGGCCATCCAATGGATGTATATCATAGGAGATGGAAAAGGAAGTATGGGTGTTTAAATGCAATGTATAGGTGAGAAATTGCCAAGGAAGTTCAATATAATTACATTTTAGCTCAAAAGAGGAAACCTCTCTAAAATAAAGGAATTAGTAAAAAGGAAGTTGAAAAAGGACACATTTCTGCAGAATGATTGAGGATTGCTCAAAAAAAAAAGGAGCTAAGCGACAATGTACATGTTGCACAAGTTTTCAGAGGTTACCAGCAATAATAATAATAATTAAAAAAAAACAGTTTCAAGAAAGCTTTCACAGTTTTGAGGGAAGGGGAAGAGTTTTCATCATAAGGATGGGGCTATTGCCCAGATTAGGAAAATAGGAAAGGAGATTAATTTCACAAACAAAATGCAAGAAGATCTTAAATAACTTTTAAAGGATATAATGGAGCACGTGATTATCATATGTTGAGCAGTAAGAAGACCAGGTTTGTTGAAAAACTTCAAATTATTTAGAATAGTTAAAACAAAAAAGCATTGCAAAGACCACCAAGGAATCCATCCAATTTTAAGTGAGTATATAAATTGGGAATGTGGCTTACACAAATGTCAAGTGATGCCAATTGTGACAAAATAACCATAAACTGGGAGTCTCAAGTCACAGTAAGTTAATTTAGTAAAAAAGTGATTTTGTGTTTGTGGTAGGCATCAGCAATAAGCAGACTTGGATTTCACTAAGTTAAAGGCAGGATATAAATTCAATAAATCAAACAACAACAACAACAACAACAATAAATAAGCATATTTTCAATTATTTCATCCTTGCATGAAAGGGTACTTAATTTCCAGTTATTTCCATTATAGCTTTTGACCAGAAAATTATTCTGCAAAAAATACACTTAGGTTTTGTGTGTTGAAACCCTGTTTCTGAAGAAAAAATTGTGTGCAAAACTATTGTGGAAGGCTTTCATGGCCAGAATCACTGGGTGGTTGTAGGTTTTTTGGGTTTTGATCTCACAACCTCTGAGGATGCCTGCCATAGATACAGGCGAACGTCAGAAGAGAATGCTTCTAGAACATTGCCATACAGCCCAAAAAACCTATAACAACCCTGTGTGCAAAACTGTATTTTTGTAATGAAAACACCTAATTGGAGTACTTAGGAATGTTTCACAAAATGAGATTTTATTGTGGCTCTTTTGTTTCTTTATTATTGCTTGATAAAGCAATGAAAGAGCCAACAAAATGTTCAAGAGAAAAAGCTATGGGTACTTTTCCTTAGCATTTATTTGGAACTTTAAGTTTCCTGTTTCATAGTTTTAAATAACTTGGCGTTTCTCTCATCTTCCTCTGCCTCTTCCATTTTGTTGCTTCTCTAATGGATATTTTCGGATCTGATCATTTTAAAGATATTGATTCAATATGGGAGGAAACCAATCCCCCCTGTTCACTATCATTGCATTTTATGCACAGAGGCTCTGTATCAACAGAGAGCTCTAGAAAAGCAGGTATCTAACTTATGTCAAGGGTTTCCATTGATAGCAGAGGCACGTCTCTAGATTACTCTCCTCAATGTGTAGAAAATAATGTAACTGGCAATGGAGGGGCAGAACTAATATTTTCCATTTCCTCATATGGTGAGTAAAACACAATGAGTTGACATCAAAGTCTTGTTTAGGAAGCTTTTTTTTTTTGCACCTTGTTTAAATTACTCTACTGAATAATTTCCTATGTGTCAGTGCTAGCATTCCTTTTCACGAATACCAATATGCAACAAACTTAATTACAGTTTAAAGTGCTTTATCCTAGAGGATAGATGACACTGAAAAATAATAACTATGCCATATCCTGTTGCCATGACTTCCTTTCCAGTTTTACTGGACTGTAGTAGGACATTTGGGTTTCCCCAGTCTAGTGCATCCAAATGCATTGAACTATAGCTCTGATCATCCCAGTGGACTGGGAGTGATGGCTATTGTAATCTAATACATCTGGAAAGTATGAAGATAGGGAAAGTTGATATGACATATCAACTGGGTTACATTTGTGCATTTTATTTAATTTTCAAAATATTTTTTGGTATAACAAGCTTAGCAAATATTCATACACACATGTGGATACTCTAATGTAACTTAGTTTTGGAATAACATGTGGAAATATGGTCTTCTTATACACAATTAATCTATACTCCTTTCAGAGAACCATTTTGTTTTTCTCCTCTTTCCAGAAAGGAGACATAATTGACATCATCTGTAAGACTCCAATGGGCATGTGGACAGGATTGCTAAACAACAAAGTGGGAAATTTCAAATTCATTTATGTGGATCTTATTGAAGAAGAGAATTCCACACCCAGAACCAGAAAGCCACACAAGAAGAGTAAAAGAGCCAAACCTAATTCTTTGCAAGAACTCCTAGAGCGACTTAATCTCCAGGTTAGTTAAAAACTGCTCCCTTTGGTTATGCATCTTTAGCATATTTTATTGTTTTCCTATATATTCAGGATTTGGACTCTCTGACTTGCAATTTGTAGTCAAAATTGCCATTTTGAATGTAAATATATTCAGTATTGTGTTGTCAAAGGCTTTCATAGCCGGAATCACTGGGTTGCATGGCCATGTTCCAGAAGCATTGTCTCCTGGTGTTTCACTCACATCTATGGCAGGTATCCTCAGAGGTTGTGTATAATTATCCTCACTATATAATTTTTTCAGAAATCTTCAGGATTTGCACTCTTAAGTTTCTCTTTTATATGACAGTAACTCTGTAAAGGCTTGCTTTGAATTAACTTGTTAGCCATTTGCTACCAACATCCTGCCTCCTGTTTTTTTTAAAAAAGAAGAGCATGGTTTAACACAGAAAATCCTTTTCATGAGTTTGGCAGTTTTATTTACTGTTTAGTTAATAAAATCCTTCACTTCATTTTCTTTATGTACTGAAACAGTTTGTAGCTGATTTAAATGTAGTTCCTAAGGTGTATAAAACTTCAGTATTTGCTATTTTTGTCAAGTTATGAGAAAATATTGCAACATTGATCTAAAATGACATAAGTAGTATATATAGAGTGCTTAACAATTACAATACCAATTCCAAATACTAATTATTGTGTTTAAACTAGAACTGCTAAGTAAAAAAAGATACAATTCTATCACATACACAAGTTTCAGACATACAAGCCTATAAATATGCACCAAACAGCAAAGTCAAATGTCTATGCTGTCATGCTTTATGTTGTGTGCAGCAATGACACAGTTATAAATTACCCTGTTTGCATTGTTTTCCCTACAAACTAGATATAAATATTTCTTTGCATAATAGTCAAGTATGGTTTGATGAAGCAATATAGCAAAACAATACAGAGGGTCTTAGAGTCCAGAATTTGTCCAACTCTAGATTCAGAAATCTTTTGCTGAAAATGTAAAACAGTGAATAAAGGAAACCTAAAGTTAGAGGTGCAATTTTGAATTTTAAGAATTGTTTAGCCTCCATGGCACAAATGGACCTCCTGTCATGCAACAGAAATCTCTCCATTACTGCCCCATCCCACCCACCCACCCACCCCCAACTGCATCTGGCATCATCCCAATATTTTCTGCAAGATCCCTAACCCAATAGGACATTCTGGGGACAGAGGGGCACCAGTGGCACAATAACACCAGTAGGGATTATACAATCATAGAGCTGGAATAGGGCACAAGGACCATCCAGTAACTTCTGAAGGATGATGCATTTCATAGCTTCCATTCCATCATAGGAAAACACTAGTTGAATATCACTCTTGGACACAACATTGCAAAAGTTATGCAATTCCAACAAAGCAGTTTCATACCTGTACACACTAAAGCAATTCTCTATTGATATGCTGCCAGTTAAAGGTGTAGAATTGCACTCCCAATTCCACTGGTATCAGTAGAAAAGATAAGCTAGATGATTCAGTAAGATTTCAAAGGCATTAATGTTTCTCTGATCATGGCCTGCATTGTATATCTGAACATGGCTTTTCTTACAAGAAACAAAAGGCATACATATTGTACATTGATTTGGTTCATTCATTTTGGTTTCAGTACACTAGATACTGTTTGCTATACTATGTAGTCCTATTGATTCAGTGAAGCTATCAGTGTACAAATGTCTGCTATTGTAACGGGAATTTCATTTGTTTTCTCAGGACTATGCTTCAACCCTCTTGCTAAATGGCTATGAGACTCTGGAAGATTTGAAAGATCTAAAAGAGAGTCATTTGATTGAACTTAACATTGAAGATCCAGAAGACAGAACAAGGTTACTGACTGCTATTGAGAATCTGCAGGACTATGAAAGTATGTGCTGAGCTTCTTCTTGATATTTTATTTTATTAAATTACATCTTAGTCCGTTAAATCATTAAAATATAGAATGGAATGATGACGGTAATGTTTATTGAACCTTTGTTTTTTTTATCAATTTTTTATTAAATTTTATACAATTACAACGAAAGAGGGGCAATAATATAAGAGAATAGAAAAGTAGGAAAAAATAGAATGAAGAGAGAAGAAAAAAGAAAAATGAAAAATTCCAAAAAAAAAACAAAAAGGAAGAAAAAAAAGATAAAAAAAGGGATGTCAACTCCCTTCTGATTCAGCTCACATAATAGATTCTTTTACTATATATATATTTATATTGGAAAAAAAACAAAAAAAAAAAGGAAAATTCCTCAGTTCAAATAATAGTGTTCTATATTGTTTTCATATAGTCTTCGACTGCTGACCAATTAGTCTCTTTAAYTGGATTGCCTGTATTCTTTTTTAATAAAAATGTTAACTTGTCCATGTCCTTTATTTCATTTATYTTGTTRATCCAGTGGGATTTTTCTGGTAYTTCTTTCTGTTTCCAAACTTTRGCATAAACMATTCTGGCTGCCGTTGTCAAATATGTGAACAAGATGTCTTCATTGGAGTCCARTTCAATGTCTCCGTCAACAATTCCCAATAGATAATATTCAGCCTTTCTTGGAAATTTCTTTTTAAATAATTTCTGCATTTCTTCATGAATRCTTTTCCARTACTTTTGAGACWCTCTGCAGCTCCACCATTGKTGAAAAAAGGTCCCATCATATTCGTTACACTTCCAACAGGCTTTCGATACATTTTCATACATGCGATTCAAACTTACTGGTGTCAAGTACCACCTATGAAACATTTTCATCCAGTTTTCTTTTAAGTCCATTGCATAGGTGTACTTAAGTTTTTTCTTCCACATTAGTTCCCAATCGCACATTGCTATTGGTCTTTTAAAGTTTTCCGCCCATTTTACCATACAACCTTTTATTGATTCAGTCTCAGTTGACCATTCTAATAGTTTTTCATATAATTTAGTTATACATTTTGTATCAGTTTTTAGAAAATTATCCCAGAAAACTTCTTTCACTTGGAAGCCTTGTTTTAAATCTTGCATATAGTGTTCCTTTATTTGCATATAATGTAACCATGTGATTTTAGGGAAACTCTGATTTATTTCCGCTTGAGATTTTAATGTCTCTATGCCACTTTTTAAAAGTTCTTTATATGTAGGCCAGGTTGTCCAGCCCAGTAACCTTCGTTGTTTCACTCCATGGGAGAAACCCATAGAGGCGTTTTGGAGTAGAAATATCTTTTATATTTATCCCAGATTCTAATTAGTGACGATCGGATAAAATGGTTTCCAAAATTCTTTTCCTTCTGTTCTCTTCCATACCAAAGGTAGGCATGCCAGCCTACACGTAAGTCATGGCCCTCTAATGTGAGGAGGTTCTCTCTTTTTAAAGCTATCCAATCTTTTAACCAAATTAGGGCATTTGCATAGATTAAAATTGGGTAGTCCGAACCCACCTCTTATTTTCTTATCAGTCAAAATTTGATATTTTATTCTTGGTTTTTTACCTTTCCAAACAAATTTCATAAGGTCCTTATTCCACTCCTTAAATTTCTTCAGATTTCTAATTATTGGGATGTTTTGGAAAAGGTATAATAGCTTCGGGAGGACTGACATTTTAATCAGTGAAATTCTTCTTTAATGAACCTTTGTGAGTTTCATGTATCAGAAGATTATCAGTACTTCTGTGTTGTTGTGTCAATCCAGTCAATGTCACGCCATGTGATAAGAGGTGGATACTAGCCATGTCGCATCAAGAGTCTACCACTATGATAAGAACAGGAGGGGAATGGTAAGGATGGCTGCTCAGTAGTTTGACTGGATGGTCAATATTCCTTCCTGCCTTTGCAGTAGCCCAAGGTCTAGTAGTAAATATCCTCTCCTGCCTCTGCATCAGCCCAGGAGCTGGTAGTAAAAACCATATCAGGGACAATCCTGAATTTAACATTTTGGATCAGCGTCAAGAGTGGAGCTGCGGTGGTGCAATGGGTTAAATCCTTGTGCCAGCTGAACTGCTGATCTGAATGTTGGTGGTTCAAATCCGCAAGAAGGGGTGAGCTCCCATCTGTCAGCTCCAGCTTCCCATTTGGAGACATGAGTGAAGCCTCCCAAGGAAGGTAAATCCCCTGGGCAATGTCCCTGCAGTCAGCCAATTCTCTCACACCAGACGCAACTTGCAGTTGCTTCTGACATGATAAAAAAAAGTGTCAAGATAAAGTGACTATATAGAACAGCCTATGGATACTAACACAGACTAAAGAAGCAGATAAAAATTCCCAGCATCCCTAAATGTAGTATTTGCTTTCTTGAGTCGTCATAACAATGTTTTTACAATAGCAGAAATTGTGAATAGCGAGGTGACTAAAACTGATAATACAAACCAGTATATGTTTGTTTATACACACTGGGTCCTTTAGCAGAAAAAAATGTGGAGTATAAATTGAATAAATAATTCAGATAAATAAAGCATATGAATAAATAAATATAATAAGCCTCACTGAATATAATACACATTATTTTTGTATGAAATCCTGTGGTATTCTAGCCTAAAGGAATGCAATAATAACCTGGCTGTGACTCAGTTAAATCTTTATTGTTAAAAGGAGGACTACACTGTTTGTACAAAGCAGAAGAGTGTGTGGTATATGTGATTCAAACTTATGTATTGCATAATACATTGTGATTCACTCATGCCCTTAATAGCCCCGGCAGGGATTGTGCACACTGATACATACACATATATAATATCTGAATAGCAAAAGTTGATGTGGGTTGCAGTGGCAAATTGATCTTTCCCATTTGGTATAAAATGTAGTATTTTTCACCAACGTACATCAGTCATGCAGATGGTAAAATAAAATATCATAAGTATGCAATGGGATATAATAGGTCATTCAGTCAAGTAATTATAATGAAAGAATGGGAGCCAGTGTGATCCTGAGGTCAACTCTTAGCAGAGTAACTAATTCTGCATGACCTTGGCTAAACCATTGTGCTTAAGTCAACCCAAGTGGAAAATTGGGTTGAAAAAGCTGAACATCATTGTTGTAACTAAATATTGCATTTGAAATCAACTTTGCAAGGTCAATATTTTTTTCTTAAAGAGGCATGACTCTGCCTAGTATAAATGATTTCCTAATTAAAATTGATTATCTGTACTGCTTAGAAGTGAGAAGCATAATTACCCAATTGTACAAGAGACTCTAGTTACTGACTCCAGAAATTGCATTGGAAATAACCAAAATACAAGCCAAGTCATCACCTAGATGAAAAAAATGCAATTTTGTTTTAGCCGCCTGGGGCTGGAGGGAAATCTAGTGGTTTAGTTTGGACGTAATTTCTCTTCAACAAACATCTGCATTACTGCAGCTTTTCTACTGCAACTTCGAGATGATTGGTTCCCATAGGCAAAATCGAGATGATTGGTTCCCATAGGCATCATATGTGACTTTTTGCTGTTCTTAATATTCAAAAACATTGACCCTCGGGCAATAAATGTAGCAAAATTAGGATACTTGTAAAAGTAGTAATATACTTGATCCTTCTAGGATTGCCTGATGAAAAACTGATCAGGACTCTTAAATGGTTGTGCAGAAGAAGGGATATCATCAAGTCAAGTTTGTGCATTTTTAGTGAGTTCTGTTTTTGGAAGATTGACAAAGGATATAGTCACTGGGTTTTCTGTCTGTCCATAAACATTAGCTACACTATAACTGCATATATATAATACTTTACAGCTCATACTTAACTGTTTCATAGTTTCAATGTACTTGACTTTTGGGGTTTGCTGGGGGATGCCTTCTGTACAAGGCATCATATAGTCTAGAGTGAGTTAGGATGCCAACAGGAAGATCTCAATCTCTCTCTTTCTCTCTCTTCCTGAGAGCAGGACCCTTTCTCCATACTTAGTGTTGTTTTTGGAGGAGGAGAAGCAACTACACCCCACTGTTATGAGCATCATCTTATAGCTTCTAGAAGGTTTGTCCTCTATGGTATAACCACTATCTGGGAGTCATGGACCCCAGAATGGTGAGGTGGTCATGCATAGTCCTCCCACCTACGAAGATGAAGTTAAGCATCCTAGAATCATAGAGTTGGAAGGGGCCTCATGGGCCATCCAGTCCAACCCCCTTCCAAGAAGCAGGAATATTGCATTCAAATCACCCCTGACAGATGGCCATCCAGCCTCTTTTTAAAAGCTTCCAAAGAAGGAGCCTCCACCACACTCCGGGGCAGAGAGTTCCATTGCTGAACAGCTCTCACAGTCAGGAAGTTCTTCCTCATGTTCAGATGGAATCTCCTCTCTTGTAGTTTGAAGCCATTGTTCCACATCCTAGTCTCCAGGGAAGCAGAAAACAAGCTTGCTCCCTCCTCCCTGTGGCTTCCTCTCACATATTTATTCATGGCTATCATATCTCAGCCTTCTCTTCTTCAGGCTAAACATGCCCAGCTCCTTAAGCCGCTCCTCAGAGGGCTTGTTCTCCAGACCCTTGATCATTTAATCGCCCTCCTCTGGACACATTCCAGCTTGTCAATCTCTCTCTTCAATTGTGGTGCCCAGAATTGGACACAGTATTCCAGGTGTGGTCTAATCAAGGCAGAATAGAGGGGTAGCATTACTTCCCTGGATCTAGACATTATGCTCCTATTGATGCAGGCCAAAATCCCATTGGCTTTTCTTGCCGCCACATCACATTGTTGGCTCATGTTTAACTTGTTGTCTACAAGGACTCCAAGATCTTTTTCACACATACTGCTCTCAAGCCAGGCGTATCTTTACATTTCATTTTTTTTTTTTGCCTTAGTGGAGTATCTTGCATTTGTCACTGTTGAACTTCATTTTGTTAATTTTGGCCCATCTCTCTAATCTGTCAAGATCGTTTTGAATCCTGCTCCTGTCCTCTGGAGTATTGGCTATCTCTCCCAATTTGGTGTTGTCTGCGAATTTGATGATCATGCCTTCTAACCCTACATCTAAGTCATTAATAAATCCTCAAGAATTATCAGTCAAAAAAATCATGTGCCAATAAGTAGCCATGTGTAAGTCAATCTTGTGTATAAGTCAAGGACAGCTTTTAGATTTTGGATTTTGAATGTATGAATTTTGATGTGATCTGTGGTTATGTTGATGGCCATTGCACAGAGAGAGAAAAGCACCACTGTTGACTCTTGAGTCTAGCTGCCCCTACAGTTGCTGCCATTTTCTTACTCAAGCTTTGAAAAAGATCAAAGCAGTGGGGATTTATCCCTTTTTAAAGATAAACAAATCTCTTGTAGTTTGCCACTCTACTCAGAGAAGGGAATGGTTGGAGTTTTTTTATTAGAGTTGTCCATGCTGACCCATGGATAAGCTCATCCAGTTTTTGGGGGGATGATTTTTGACTAAAATTTCTAGACATATACATGAGTATATAGGGTAATTGTCAAAGAACTAATGCCCCTTTCTAACTGAGCTTATACTATGAAGTCATCTTTCATTTATTCAAGAACAATTATTAAACTCAAACACTCTGTTTAGACCATATATGTTTTTTTCTTGTCCCATTGAAGTTAATAGGGACAAGTTAACTGCACTAATTTGTTCAATTGATTTCAATAAGCAACCAGCTTGCTATGGGCTGGGTCCACATTCAAATTTCATGACAATCGTTCTTCCTTCTACCTTTTTAAAGATATATTATTATGTAATCAAATTTAGATGTGTGTGATACTAGGGTCACTACAAGCATGGCTTTTTAGGAACATATTTAGAAAGGTCCTCTCTCAGCTGATGACCTCACATGAGCTGAGTAAATGTTCTTCATAACTGTGACTTCCTTTTCATTAGAGGACATCTACTATATCTTCCTAATTTCCTGTCAGGTCTTTGAGTTGTGGTTGAACCAAACTTCTAGAAAAGAAAAACCACATTTCTCTGTTCTGAAGAAAAGACTTGTCCTCGGAAGTATAGAAAGTGACACCTCTAAAACCAAAAAATGTATTTTTACAACAGTTAATTGTGTTCTTCATCATATTTTATCTGCATATTACCTTCATATACCAAAGCATCAAAATAAGTAATGCAAACCACTGAAATGTGTTGTGAAAAAAAAGAACTAAATGATCAGCATGCAATAATGCAGGCTGCTGGTACATTAAATTTCTGTCCACAGAAAACCAGTACATCAAGAACAAGCTGGTACTGGAAATGTATCCCTCTTGTGCTACTTTTCTCTGTGTGTGTGCACGTGTGTGTGTGTGTGTGGGGGGGGGGCTCTTTTTATATAAGAAAACTTCTGAACAAACTTCTTCTTGAAATTTTCCAAATATTATTGGACTCTGTCTTCCATAATATATCTCTATTTGTCATGCTATCTAGAGAGGTCATACTGAATTACAGTCCAACAATACCTGGAAGGTCAAATGTTATTCACCCATACAACACTATTTAGATGACCCTGTGATTCAACTGGTACACAAATATAGAGTTTTACTAAAGTCAGGAGAAGATGACCTCATGTATGCAAAAAGTAATCTCAAAACAAGGTTCCTGATAATGTCTTTATGTCATGAGCCATATTCTTACATTAGTGCAAGCGGGACACCCGTACCTTTATGGAAACAAGCTCCAAGGGCAACACAAGGGCAAAAATGCAGATAATGAATATTTATAACACAGCTCTTGTCAGAGTATATGCACTAGCCTTATATTTCTTCAGTATCCATGGCCTAATCCTATGGACTAAAGGAGTATCAGAATATACATGTCAAAATGATGCATATCTCAGACTCAGCTAACCCTATCTTAGACAACTCTGACTGAAAACCATTTATCTTTTATGAAACTGCTATACTTTAGGAAAATTACATGACTTGTCATGGCTGATAAGATAGTACATTTCACAAATTCGCCAACATTTAGCAGTGCCCTTTGCAAAGTCTATTTCTATGTCTTTAATATTTTAGAGATGAACCAACATCTGCTTTATTAGTAAACAGAACCCTCCAATTCCAGGGTTCAACTATTGGTCTCAGTGCTCAACCCTTCTCTTCTGGGTCCCAAAAGGAGAAAAGGATCCTCAGGGCAAGAGTAGTCTTTTGAAAATATTTTTTCTGTCTTATTTTGGTCCCTGCTCTTCCTCCTGTGTTGCAGTTGCAGTCAACTCTTTAGCTGACCCCTCTGCCCCTTCATCTCTTCCCTCCTCTCAGCTCAAAATGCAATGAAATCCCAAATGTACAAGATATATTTGTTGGGCCTAGGAAAAAATTAGAAAGCATACATCTGCTAAATTTTAAATTGCAAGGATAAGGATCTCATCACATGGAGAAATTTCCCTGTCGTAGGACACTTCAGCCACTTCGACAATACATCTTCAGTCACTTTTCAAGCATGGAGAGGCATGGAGCCCATCACATGACATTTAAGCATTTCCAGCCATCATGTGTAGCTCCTTGTCCTTGAAATGAAGCTGAAGTGTCCTGAGCTCTGAACACAGGGGGAGCAGTCATGTTCTGAACTCCTAGTGTGCATCAGATCCATAATTCCAGCTGGAAAACATGGTGATGTTTTGCAGAGCATTCCAATGGGCAGTCTTTTTTTTTTGGAGGGGGAGAGGGGTGTCTTAAGAATGGGGATTGGGAAGGAAAACAGCCCATAGAAGTGTCTGTCTCCCTCTCTCTCTCTTCATGAAACTAAACATACCAGGAATAAAATGCACACAAAATCAATAATCTAAAGTTCCTCAAAGTGGACAAGAGCATAGAGGAAAGCAATCTCCCAAAGCAGACAAGAGCACATGGCACAAGAGACATTTATTTATTATTTTATTTAAAACATTTAAATGCTGCCCTTCTCAACCCGAAGGGGACTCAGGGCGGAGCACAGCATATATATGGCAAACATTCAATGCACAGATTCACATATAATATATAAACATTAAAAAAACATTTATCGAAATATGGAGGCTGCGCCCTTGAATCCCTAAAGCCCTGTACACTCACACTAGCACTCCCTCTCATTCTAGTTCTTAACTCAAAATGCTGCTCATATGTTAAAGCGAAACCAGGGCCAAACAATGCCTCTTAACTAAAATGCCCTTGAGTAAGGACACTCTTAAGTCAAGGTTCCACTGTATTAAGAAAATGCTTTAGCGTACAAGTCATTCTGAGTAATCTTGTGATGATAAAATTGAATCTTTGAAATATTTCTATTTATATTTAATTTCCTTTACAAATTTAGTACCTTTCAAAAATCAGCACTGGACCTGTGTGAAGTGTGTGCCCAGGTGGCTGCCTTGTTGGCCTAATGATAGTATAGGCTGTGCTCACATTTTCAATTAACTTGATGTGTCCAGTGCAACATATTTCCCCAAATATTCTGGACAATAATTCTCATCATTCATAGTCATCATCATCTGTGGTCACAGGTTATGGAATTTGTAGTCCAAATTCTTTGTCACACACTGGGATGTGGGAAGGTAGTGATATGTATGGGTTTAATGTGTCATTTGTGTATACCATTTAGAAAAGGCATATTTTTGAAAACTGACCTGTAGCATCGGTTAAGGTGAGTGATGAAGATTACCTTCTGTGATCTTGATGGATGATTTGGGGTTTGAATCCAAATGTCCTTTATTCTGGCACCCAACACTTGATTCATTATTATATAAATGCTTTGTAAATTACCCTGTGCTTTTCCTGCAAATCTTGCACATAACTATCAAGGGGATTAAATAACATATTGCTTCAATTTTGCAGATGAACAAGACCAGGAAACACAGGAAGTGTCACAGACCTCAAGCCCTGACCTCAACTGTAACAAGTCTCAGCTAAATGACTGCCCAAGAGACTCAGGTTGTTACATCTCACCAGAAAATTCAGATAACAGCAAAGAAGATCTAGATACAGAGAACCTATCTGACATGATAAAGACAATTACCATCGAGGACTCAAACTGAATCAGATTACTGTTCCTGCCAAATTATTAGAACTGGATCTGGAATCATCTGTTAGCATGAGAATGCAGCAATGAACATTAAAATCCATCTTAAGACTGGACATGCTATCTGATTTCCAACTTCAAACAGATTATAAAAGCAAGAATGTGTCTCTCGAACAATCTCCTGTGCTTTGATTTGTAATTTTCCTAAAGACAAAATAATCACATTTTTATACTTTTTCTATCATACGACTATTTAATGGTTTATAATTCTAAGAGTATTCAGCTTCAAAAAGAAACATTCTGAATATTGTAAACATTGTACATAATTGTTATTTTGTGAGGCAAAGACAATTGTACTTACCCAGTCCTTTTAAAAATGTAATCTAATGATCCATTTCTTTGGATTTAAACATAGCCAGCCAATTTTTAATATGAATCTTTCTGGGCTTCATTTAATTATTGCAATGTGCAGAGTTAACTCTAATTATCTCTTTAAACAATTTATATTGCCATAAATGAAAATGGATTATTAATACACCTAGAAATTAGACTATTTATCATCTATGTGCATTCTGAATACTCTCTTCATGTGTACTCTAATTCATGTGCACATATTTTATAAAGGATTCCCTCCTTCCTTGCATTGTTTCCTTTGCAAACACTGTGAAAGGAAGCTTACTAGTCACAAGTGATTTTCATAGGTCTCTGCACAAACCCTTCTTCTATGTGCATGATATGAAGACAATAGAATTATGACGTATCTATTTATTAGTGAACAGTTAATTAAAATTTATAAAAATGAGTATATACTATTGTCCATCCCTTTGTGAATTGTCATGTTTGGATATATTTTACAAGGGTGGGTCATTCGCTCACATTTTTTCTTAATATACTTCCCTTCAAAATAAACGTGTGTCACTAAGTTTCTGTCTTTTTCATGTTCAAAAGTGCAGTACTGTGAGTTATATTAAATATATTATGGCATGTTTTTATTTTGTAGGGTTACAAGTTATGTCAGATCAATAGCTCATACTTAGAACATATGCCCTCCCATTCCAAAAGTAATTGTCTTTAGGTGCTATTTGGAATACATTCCGGTTTGGAAGAAACAAAGCAAAATATATTAATTAGAAATGAAATTGTGCACTTTTTTCAGAACGGTGTTGAAGCCTATCCCAAACCTCAATATATCATTGAATATAAAGCATACTGAAACAACATGTAATAAAGAAATCATGCTAACTTTGCCCCTCTGTCTCCATTTTACCCATCTTTTCAAGCCCTCCTGATTCTGTCCAGAAGAGATTTGGCTATGGGTGCTCTCCATATAGCTGGGAACATGTGGTGGATGCCTTCCTATTCAGACCCATTATTCACCATGTAAAGAGATCAGCAGAATGGAAGATAGAAGGCATGGAGAAAGCTCACTTCTGTCTTCATATGTTGAGTTAACACACTGTAAATGACTGAAAGGAACTTGCTCAAATTAGAAATAGTGAAATATACTAAAATAGGGAACTGCAACAGTTCTCTTGGTCACAGTGGCACTTTACAATCTGCTACAACAATGGGTGTCCTTGTTTTATATATTGGTATGTGGTTTCTGATTCATATTGTTTGTGTGTGGGGAGGGGGTGAACCCTCTTACCATGAAGCCAATACATCAAGAAAATTTTGCAAGAGACCAAACTGAAGTAGTCCTGAAAGGGTGTATTACTATTGTTCTGGTGTTACAGGAAAGCAAAATTGGATGGATGTTCAGGACCTTCTAGTCAATCGCCATTACTTTAAAAAAGAAGAGGAAAAGATGGGTGTGAGGGATCACTGTTTGCACTTCCCATAATTACCAAGATATTTATTTATTTATTTTATTTACAACATTTATATGCCGCCCTTCTCACCCCGAAGGGGACTCAGTGTGGCTTAAAAGATTATATATATATATATATATATATATATATACACACACACACACACACACACACACACACACATACATATACATACACATACACACACACACACACACACACACAATATATGTACAATATGCAACTGCAAACAAAGTAAGCTTGATAAACAGAAGATGCTCTCCTGGATTGACAGTCTATTTAGCCCAGCATCTTCTTTCTCACATTTGGAAACCAAATGACTATGGAAAGCTCAAGACATGAGGGCCATACAGCTAACTCAGAGCCTTTCTACACTTATCACATAATGCAGTTTGAACTTAACTTGAGACTGCAGTGGTCATAAAAGGCACGTCAGTAAGAGGGGCTGCAGCACACATCTAAGGCTATACAAGACACTTTTAAAGGTCTCAGGGAAGTCCAAGTTAAGTAGAAAAAATGTGCTGCAGCAGATGCTAATGTATCCCATATCTAGGGCAAAATTGGCTCTGCAAAATGTGGAGCACATTACAATAAAGAATCTGAAATGGAAGTTGCCAAAAATGCACAAAGGAAATGATTGGGCAGCAGGGGGTTAATTGGCCCCCTGCGAGAGGAAATTGACTACCAACTCTGCTGTTACTTTCCTTTTTCCCCACCACTATGTCTCTGGCACACTGATTATCATCTCTCCAGAAAATCGGCAGGAGATGATGACTGCAAAGCAGTTTTAGGACAGGTTCTAAGGTCAATGGAACTTTAGTCTTTAAAGGCAGTGTATCTGGCCTTGGAGGCAGTATAAAACCTTCATAACTAGTAGTCATTTATAGTTGAATTCTCCAGGAATTTTTCTAAAGCCATCTAAACTGGTAGCTATTCCAGATAAGGAATAGAGATCATGAGGGACAGTATAAATCCAGTTTACTTTATTAGATTAGTCATTTGTTACTCAAATTCATCTGTTGCGAAAAAATTTAAATGTTAATCATGCTGACATTAATATTTTGGAATGATTGTACAGTTATTGAGATATTACTTGCTAATGAAATTCTGCCAAAGGTCATGAAGAAAGATTGGGCATCATGTAATGTGCTGGTGCCAGATTTTCAAGGCAACATCATCACAATACCAGATTCTCTCATTTCAACAAAATGTGTTGAAATGCAGATTTATGCCTATGAAAAATATTGTGTTACTTTTGGACAGGATGAATTATGATTAAAAAAGATGAAAAAAGAGAAGGCAGGGGAAACACATGTTGCATATAAAAGTTTGTATAAGGCACACCTTATAGAAATATATATATTATTTTTGCATCTTTTTTACTCCCCCAAATTTGTTAACTTTAATTGCCAAAAAATCAGTTTTTACCTCTGGTGACCCTATGAATGTGTGCCTTGATCACTAACAACTCATTTCTCCTTTGATTGAATCATTTTCTTCCATTTTCTTCCTCTCTTCAGCATTCATAAACATACATGGAAAGCAGAAATAACATTCTAAGTTGTAATTTTTCAATGTCTCTACAAAAGTGTCAATTTTGATTTATGATTTATGTTGATCCAAGTTTTTGGGGTTGATTTTTCTTTTTCTAAATTTTATGGACTTATCCATGTGCATACAGGACATGTAAATAATCTGTAGTCATTATTTTTGTTTTCTTAGTAAAAATCTGTAAACATCTGTATTTTTTCTTAACTTTCATCTGTAAGTCATTCTAAATACTTACTATATTCTGCTAACATGGGGGAGGGATGGCAGAAAGAGCACTGTATGATACAGCAAATGGAAGTAATTAATATGCTGATATAAGTATGGGTTAGATTATGTTTTATTTGTACATCACTAACCACAAATCAAGCTTCAGTTTACCATTAATAATTTATTCATGGCAAATGCCCATTTCATGTGAACTTTGTTTTGCTAAAGATACTTATGATAGAACTTCAATCAATGTCAAAAAGTGGGTCCAATTCTTTTTAACCTATCATATATTCTCATGTATAGGTTGACCTCAAGTTGAGATCAGGTTCTGGAGCCAAAATTATGGATTTTTATATAACCATAGATAAGTCAAGGTTCATTCTGTACAAAGTGCAAAGTACCTATGCTATTTCCAGGGACCAGCTACCTTAGTCACTACCATTTCTTCATTCAGGCATTCAAAAAGGCCAGAAGTGGTGCTGAAACAGATGTAGAGTGTTGGTGCTTCATTTATATTCCCACAGTGTGGACTAAGTGTTGGTTCCTTTTAAAATAAAAGTTTAGGTACAATACTTACATTGACCTGTGCATAAGTCAACCCAGTTTTGGTGGGTTACTTTTTTGACTAAAATATTACCTAGAGTGAAGAACATAATAGTACCACTCTATTTTGCTTTGATCAGACCTCACTTGGAATTCTATTTCCAGTTTTAGGCAGTACCATTTAAGAAGAATATTGGCTAGTTGGAATATGTCCACAGAAGGGCAATCAAGAGGATCAAAGGTAAAGAAATGAAGGCTTAGAATGACCAACCTAGGAGCTGAGTGTATTTATCTTTGAGAAAACAAAACTGATTGGGAGGTGACTATTTTTTAAAAATCTGTAGGGATGTCATGTGGAGGATGGAACAAGCTTGTTTTCTTTTGCTCCAGAGACCAGAACACAAACCCATGGGGTGAAAGAAGAAGAAAAATCAATCTAAACATTTGGAAGATTTTTTTTTAAAAAAAGGTAAGAGTTGTTTGATAGTAGAATAGATTGCTTAAGAATGTGGTGGACTTCCAAGAGACTTATCTGATCATAGCCCAATATTAATGACACTAAATTACAAGAAGGGAACAAAGAAATGGCGATTAAATGAAAACCTATTGAAATCAGAGGAAGATATTAAGAGAAATAAGGAGAAAACAAAAGAATATTTTGAACTAAACAACAAAGAAGAGACCAAGATCCAGATAGTATGGGACACATATAAAGCGGTTATGAGAGGTCATCTAATATAGCAGAACTCAATTAGAAATAAAATTAAAAATGTACCAAAAAAACCTAATTAAAGAGAGGATTGAAAAAATAGAAAAAGACCTGAAAGAAGACCCAGGAAACCAAGATTTGAAAGGAAAATTAGAAGTACTAAAAAAAAAGAAAAGAAAGAAAAGCATAGTATGGAACTGGAATAAATGGCAAAACAGGTACATAAAACAATCGGAATTCGAAAATGCAAATAAAATAGGAAAATTGTTAGCATGGAGAATTAGAAAAAAGAAACAATCTCAACAAATTACAAAAATCAAAGTAGATGACAAAATATTGATAAAGGATAAGGAAATAATGAAAGAATTCCAGAGATTCTTCCAACAATTATATGCAAAAGATATGATCGCCAAGGAAAAAATAGTAAGGTGTTTGAATAAGCAAAAAATAATCAAAATAACGGATGAACGAAGATATAACTTAAATAGAGAAATATCAATGGAAGAAATCAAAAAAGCAATTAAAAGCCTTCAAAATAATAAAGCTCCAGGGCCGGATGGTTACTCGGCATGCTTTTACAAAACAATGCAGGATGAAATTTTGAAGACCTTAAGCAAGATTATGAACAAGGCATTAGGAGAAGGAGAAATTCCAGATTCATGGCCTCCTGGACCTGCAATCATATTACGACTCATGTGTTCTAACATGGGTTCGGGACTGGACTAAATTAACTAAAATTAAGATATTGGCTATAGAAGGATTTGATCTACGTAAAGGATGGCACTCATACCTTTGGTATGAAGGAACCAGGAAGGAAAAGAACTTCGGAAACCATTTCATAAGGTCGGCATTAATAAAGGTGTGGGAACGACATAAGAAATATCTGTTTAACAAAACCCCATTATGGGTTTCGCCGCTTGAGGCAAACCAGAGAAGACTGTTGGACTGGATACAATGGCCGACATACAAAGATATCTTAATTAAAAGAAATGGATCAATGGAATTGAAAAATCAGAAGGACATCTCAGACCAATACAGAAATGTATCCTGGTTTCAATACGCACAAATTAAGGAGTGTTATAAGGAGGATAAGAAATTAGGCTTTGGTGTAAAGGATGATTTTTGGGAAAAGGTACAAAAGAGTGAAAAGAAAACAATAACAATTTTATATAATAAACTAATTGATTTGGCTATGGAAACTGAGGTGATTAAAAACTCAATGATTCAGTGGGCCAAAAATATAGGTAGAACCATCCACCTGAGTGAATGGGAAATAATATGGACGAAATGATTAAAATATACATACGCCTCAGATCTTAGGGAGAATTGGCTCAAGATGTTACACTGTTGGTATTTAACACCTCAAAAATTGGCGAAAATGTATAAGAATTTAGATAAGTGTTG